ATAACCATAATTGTATCTCACTTTTTCCGTGTAGTCTGGATTTTCCATCACTGGATACACAGCACGTCCTTCATAATTGGTATATCTTGTGTATTCTGTGTCGGACGGATAAGTAGCGCTGGGATTCGGAGGTGCTGCAGTTGTATGTTGAACCATATAATTACGTGTGTCATACCCAGGATCCTCGTAAGATGGGTAACTAGGTTTCTCATATGTATTATAATTCTGGCCTTCATATTTGTATTTATTGTTATCGTCGTACGGATAATTGGGAGGGTACGACGGATAATGCGTGGTTTTATAATCATACTCCGAATCGTATCTAGGTGTATTAGCAGCTTCAGATGTATTTAAGTTGATATAAGGTTTCGCCACAGGTACCCGTCGATTACTCGGCGTATGAACCGGTATAGGACGGTAGCATTCATTGTGTTTGCTCGTATCATACTGACGAGCCATCATTAAGCCATCAATATTCTGCAACCAGATACACCAGGCCTCGACAATCACATACGATTTTTATCTATTATAATTGGTTGAATCATACACATATACGCACTCTCACTCATTAATTGTGCTATTAACATACTTTTTTTTTTATTGTTTTTTGATTCTTTTTTTAACATGTCATACCACATACCAATTATAAAATTTCGAACCTATCACGTAACACGCGCTAGTAGAAGATTTTTAAATAAAAGCGATATGACTTTAAGCATCACGCGTCTTTCATTCATCTACTACAATCTATTTGTTTATACTGTTACTAATATTATTTTTTTTACAACTATTCATTAATTCGACTGAAGATATCATATTGAAAAATTCTATATTATAGTCTGCTGATAATATTTAATCACGATTTGGAAATATATTTCTTTTCGCAAAAATTCAATACTCACTTCAAGAAATATGACAATTTGTTACTTCACACATCGCATGTGGATCAAAACCTGCGATTGCACACACTGTCACGCAAATCATACCCATTACAATGTTTATAATCTTTAGAATATTATACATTTAATTAATGCTCGAATATTTCATTTAAAATTCACTCTCAATATTAACATATAACAATATTACGTTTTAATACGCGAAAAAATCAATCCCTCTAAATCTCATTTCAATGATGCAATAATATTTCATTTAAGCAAGCTCGAAGCAAATTAACAATTACATAATACATATTCCTTGAAAATTTCGCACTAAAGGATCGAATTTGTAAAATGATCTGCTTGTTGCAACTAATCTATCTAACTTTTGTATAAATTAATTGGGTATGTATCTTCAAATTTTCATATCTAAAATATTTTAAAAAATATTTGACAGTGGTACCTCTCATAACATACTTAAAAAATTTCCACAGTATTTAAAGAAAACACAAACATACCAATGTTATTTACAAGAGCACGCAAACATACTTTCTTTTACTTTCTTAACTCACATTGTATCATACAACACTCATATAAACATTCACGCATCACATCTCCTTTATAAATATACCATTTAATTTGACTACACATTCATCTATTTATACCACAATATACTTTCTTCTCAAGAGATTAAATATATGTATAAAAAATGACGTTCAAAAATTGTAAATGGAAATTAATAAAGGTAATGTTTCATATAGTCATATATTTCATATGACTCAGTCATTCTGATTCAAAATAGGAAAAAGAATTTGTAAAGCAAAATATATTTTATACGCATCTATGCCATAGTCAAACTTTTTAATCATTCTTTTAACTTTCTTATAATTCAAGCTTCATAATTCAACTAATAATTTAGCATGCACCATAGATCTACACAAGAAAAATATATATATGAAAATTTTTTTAGAAAGATTTTATTATATTTCATTGCAATTTTTTATTATGAATATCATGCTGTTCATTCTTCATTTAATTAGTATTTTTTAACATTTTTTTTATAATATATACTAATTTTTTAGATTTTTAAATGATGAAACAATATAATTTTTTTACATATTTATTAAAAAAAAAGAGAAATATTAAATTTTCAAAATAATTATTTGTGCAAAAATATATTATAATTATATAATAAATTAAATAATATAAAAGTACAGATCTATGATTTGCACGCAAATATTCTATATATATTTTGATCTTAAACAAATATTAACTACTTGAACATTTCACAGCTATTTGAAGATATACAATGAAACAATTAATGTTTGCCAATGTATATAATAATGCTCTTACCTTACTGTTGGGAACCTTAACATCACACCATCGCCCATCAATCATATGTCGTTGAGCAAGACATCTTAATTGGGATTCATAACTCCCAAATCTAATAAAACCAAATCCTTTGCTTTGTCCTGATTTTGCATCTTTTTTAACCTGTAAAAATATTTAAATATTTACATTATACCAATTTATATATTATATTATATATTATAATTTATTCTTCAATTTCTACAGTGACATAACAAATTTATAAATAATCAAAATAATTATTTAAAATAAAATTGAAATAAAAATCTAATGATATATTTTATGATTGGTTCTAAGATATCAATTTGTTATCAATAATGAATTCAACAATGAATTATCTTGGCATATATTCCTTAAAAATATTTAAAGGAAAACAAAAAAAAAATTATACTATTTATAAATTGGAAAAAATTAAAAAACTCACTTGTGCCATGAGTACTTCTCCAAATGTTTCAAAATACTCTCGCAAGTTCTGCTCGGTTGTTTTCCATGGTAAACCAAGTACGATCAAGTCTGTGCAACGCAACTTTGTTTCCATTCTTTTAGTCTTAGCTGTGGAATTTTCCAAATTGTCATCAGATTTACGTTTGTTCTCTGAAAAGATATAAGTGTTCATGTCTACTAACTTTTTTTTCATTTTACTAGAACCTCTTTTAAAAAAATTTGAATCTTATTGAAAAATTTTATATATATATATATAATTTATGAAAAGAGATAAAAATAAATGTAAAAATAATGATAATAATAATAATAAATAGAAGTAAGAAAATATATAGTATAAAGTACAATAATTATTTTTCAAAAAATATAACAAAAATTATGTTATATTGTGTATATGTGAGGCTCTATGTGTGTGTGTGTGTGTGTGTGTGCAATATAGATATTATATTGTTATATTTTAGTGAAGCATTTGAGTTCACATCTATGTATTATATTATATATATCTATACTATATATATCTATACTCTACAGAACTATATATCTATATAAACTCACATAGATGTAAACAAATTATAATTATAAATAAGTATATATTTATAAATATTATTAAAATTGCAAGTTAAAAATATTTTAATATAATCTTATTTATAATCTAGATCAGTAAATGTTAATTTATTTGAACATTAACATGTGCTTATGTTAATATCAACAAAACATAATAAATAATCAAAATTTAATGAATAAATTACAAACAATTTTTTATATTTGATGTTAAATATAATTATTTAATAGAAAAATCATGCGAAACTTCTTATATCTTTTTAGAAAAAAGAAAGGAAAAATTAATCGAAAAGAAAATTAGAAAAAATTGATTCGAAAATAAATACATAAACACAAACACATGTAGTGGACTTCAAAAAAAAATCTATATATAACAGTTATGATGAAATTTATAGAAATTATTAAAGATCAAATATTGATAAAATTTATAAAAAATAATTAATAAAATATTTTTCGCGATGTATTAAATAATTGAAAAAATAAAATATTGAACATATATTAATAAATAATAATAAAAAAAATTAAAATTATATACAAAATTAAAAACTTGTCGATCGACATTTTAAATCTCGAAATATTTTAAAATTTATGTCAATATACGAAAAACATTATATACTTGATCTTGTATGATAGTGTTAGTATATTTTCGAGAAAGAAGAGGGGATGAGAGAAAAAGATTATGATTTGCAGTGAAATAAGCACCTTTTGGAAAAACACAAAAGTAAATTGCCTTGCCCCATCCATTTTCGGGCGGATGAAGACGTCCGTCAACAAGACGAATGCCGCGCATCGTCCGAGATTCTGGATTGCGATATTTCAGGCCACACGTTCCGGGAAACTGGGCGGTTACGGTAGTCAATAAAAGTGTACTATCGTCTTCCGTTGGCAATTCGATCGGTTCATCGCCTTCATCTTCGGCAACTTGGATGTACGACGACATAATTTTCTCTTCAAAACGTACGGTCTTTCCGAAAAAAGCGAACGTTTCTTTTTCCAAAAAGAGAATAAAAATTTCGTACAACACAACAAACACACACGCTCGGCCTCGCAATCAGTCACGCAACACCGCACCTCTTTCTCTCCTCTTGCATAGCTATCAGAGCTACCAACCGGTTCATTCCGGAATTACAGACTTTTCAATATGTCTGGAAAATTCCACTCAATTTCCGTTTATAAAATAATGCTTGTAGAATAAGATATATATTTTGTTTGATTTTAATATATCAACGCAAATAAAATTTTTTTAAATAAAAATAATGATGTTTATTGATTAAACAATATTTTTTCATATATATTTAAAAGATATATATAATTAATACTAAGTTCAAATGAATTACTTATATGATCTTAAGATACTTAAAAATATTTTTTTTTATATTTAAAACGATAGAATAAGAAAATAACATGATAAAGTTATTAAAAGTTTAAAATCATAAAGTTAGATTAAATTTATATTATTAAATATATTCATTAATGAAAAATCAGATCGAATAGATGTTTTTTTTACGAAAAATATTTTTTATAATTAATTTATATATACATATATATGTATAATACTTAATGTATTATTGTGCTTAATTGTCATTATGTGCTTAATTTATATTATGGGTAAATTGTATATTAATTTTTATTTTCTTATCTAGGGAATTTTATAATGTCAATTAAATTAGCTAAGAAATTATGTTAAAGCATCTATTTTTGGCGGGAAAGTATAACTTTTAAAATATATTATATTTGATTAAAAAGGACTCGTTAATTGTTCAAAAAATATATTTCTCTTAAAAATACATTTAAATTGTACATTTAAGTTATAAATATCAATACATTAAAAAATATATATTTTTTGTCCAAAACTCATAATTCATAAAATGTATTTCAATATTATATTAAATAAGCATTATTGAAATGATCATTACGATAAATTAAAAAGAAACAAAGTTGAAATGCAGATAATATGCAACCTAAAAAATTTGGTATTTGTATGAAAAGATCATTAAGAAGGCAACCATACACAAACCATTGAGAAGAAACTATAAAAGAAGCCATGATAATAGGAAAAGGTAAAGTTTCAGTATTTTTAACTTTTATTACATGTGCCTAAAAAAAAAATATTTTATTTCATCAATCTTCTTCTTCAAACAAGTAATTTTCATATTATAAATTGAAAAAATTAAAAAAACTTACCAGCATCATTAATGGAGATGCAAAAAATAATACTGTTATTGTACAACTAAGAAAACCAACATATTTTGCAGCTAATACTCTATCTTGCTCATAAAAACTATAAAAATATACAGTTCCAAGAAAACATGTTGCTGCAATTATTTGTCTTATTATTTTAAATTTTTTTACACTATATAAAATAAACACATAAAGATAAGATGCTTGAAGTATTATGCCAAAAATATTCACTAACAATATAAATTGATCTTCAATAAGCATACCATATCTCATCCATAAAACACATCTGTAACATATATTTATTTATATAAAAACTTATACATTATACAAAAATTTGATTCTAATTAAATTCTTAGGGAATATTTAAAAAGCATTAAAACATAAATTAAATGAAATATAACAAGAAAGAATAAAGAAATAATTATCATAGTAAAACAATTTTTAATAATAAATAGTTTTTATTATTAAAAGATATAACACTTACGATGTATAACATGTTACAAATGCCAAAGCTGAACTATTTCCTGTGCTGCCATTTTTAATGATTTTTCTGCATACCAGTCTAAAATATATTTCTTTGTCTTTCACTCATATATTAGATACAATATATTTTTGTCTATATATAATGAACATTAAAAACTTTTTTAATATTTATTTTTGACAAGATAAATGTTTTGCCAAAATCTAAAAAACTTTTATATTTTATAAAAGTATGATTACATGCTTTAAAAATTTATTGTATAATATATTTATATTAACAAAATATATAAAAATTCTTAACAATTTCTCAAATAAAAGAAAATCAGATTTCAGGTTCACATTTTTACTTACATGCCAGCTAGAAATTGCAAAATTGTACAAATCGAAGCAGTCGTAGCTAACACATCTTTAATCTTCGTTGAAATCATAATATAAAATATTATTACTATTTCTATATATTAACATTCGTACCAGATTTCTAACCTTGAAATATATTAAGCCTGGTGAAGAAATAAAAGTGAAGTTGCTGAATAAAATTGAAATGCTAAAATTTTTTTTTTTATATTATAATTTTTTCAAATTTTATATTATATTAATAAAATATTAATAATTATTTTTTATTTTTTATGAAATAAAAAAATAATTGTGTCAGTATTATATTTGATCCTAATCTTTAATGATATAGTTTGAAAATTATTTTTTTTTTGAGAAATGAAAAAATTGTATTTATTTTATAATATATATATTTTAAATATGAATGACACATATATTAAATAATATTCGATTATTTTAGTGTCAATTGATTTTGGATAAATCGAAATTTTTATCATCTTTTGTTTTTAACCTAATCAAA